GTGTGTGTGTGTGTGTGTGTGTGTGTGTGTGTGTGTGTGTGTGTAGGGGGTGGGGTGCTTTTTGTAGGTTGTTAAAGCTAAAACCGATTTTCTGATTTTCCTACCCTGACAGTCACTCTAGCTGAGCTTGGCCACCTGCTGGCAGAAAAATGATTAGGGGATTTAAGCATCCAGTGAAGACCGAACTTCTTTTAGAGTTGCTTTGGCCCTGGAGGGCTTTGGTTTGTCAGGCCCTGTCTCCTGGCTCCTTTGAGGTGGCAGCAGGTGCTTTCTTGGGCATAGCTAGTCACTGACACAAGTAGAAACATTTTATCACATATGTTTGGAACCACTGAGAGGAGAAAAAGGCAAATGGCTGGGTTGTTTTTAATTGTCCTGCTATGTTCAAGGTTTCTTTCCCTTTGGAGGTTTTAGAGGCACAGCCTAGCATCTGCTGGCATCCTGAGGAGCTCGAGTCCCAGAGTGGGAAGAAGGCCTGAGATTCACACACTGACTGACAATTCAGCAAAAGCTGTTTCAGTGTGGTTATTCCAGGGCAACAGATGTGAGTGGGGCGGGGCAGTAAGCTGGCGTGCTAGGGAGCTACCTTTCCAGGGAGGTGAAGCAAGGCTGTGGGGTTGAGTCCTCTACTGGGTCCTGGGTGATCATGGGACCCGTGAGAGCCATCCTGGGGCTCGGGTCCTTGTGGCTAGTAAGTTCTGTGGGTCTCTCAACAGCTCTTGCTGACAAACTGACAGCAGACAAACACTGCCAGAAGAAAGTCTCTCAAGTTTGTTGACTCTGGGGCCAGAGAGGCTGTCAGTGCCAGCGACACCATACATATTAAAGCAGACCTTCATACTCTGTTGGTTTTAAGGTCTGACGTTGTCTTCAATTGTAAAGAGAGATGTGTGCAAGAATACAAATTTAATCTTTTTGTTTGTTTGTTTGTTTTTGTTTTTCGAGACAGGGTTTCTCTGTGTAGTCCTGGCTGTCCTGGAACTCACTCTGTAGACCAGGCCTGCCTCTGCCTCCGAAATGCCGGGATTAAAGGCGTGCGCCACCACTGCCCGGCTACAAATTTAATCTTATTTATATTTTATCTATATAAGCTACATCAAATATAGGTATAGGCTAGGTCATGGCTTCTGGAGTAACCCAAAGTCCCCATATGCCCATGGCTTTTAGCAGCACAGATTTTCCCACACTGCTCCTCAGGCTGACTGGAGCTCTGCTTCACGTGTCCTCATTCCTGGAGGCCCGGGCTAAAGGGACCTCTCTACCTGTGCCCGGGGCAAGGGACCAGAGCCCATCAAACGATATCTGTTTTATCCATTCTTACAAGTTCAACCACCAATAGCCAGTGTGCTGTAGCCATGCATGTGCCCAGGGGCATCAGAACACCCAGGTGGTGAGCATTGAACAAACAGAGACAGCCTGTGCCAGTAAAGATTAGATGAGAAGTAACTTATTTGGGCAGGAAACCTAGGAGTGAGAATTGAAACTAGACTCTTTCCTATAATTTATTCCTCTCTGTATCTTCTCAAAGCCAACGGCAACATCACTGTCCACAGGTGGTACCACTCCTGTGCAAGGAGCCATTATGCTTGAGAACAAAGCCCCCAGGTGACTAGGGAGTCACCCGGAACTGCAAAGGGAAAAGCAGATCCAGAAACAATGTTACCACAACATAAAACGAACAGAAACAAAACAGTTGATATAAAAACACGGAGCCAAACTTCAGAAGCAGATTCCCAGTATCACCTCTACTGGCCCAGGGAAAACAGGACCCCTAGCCTACAGGCTCCAACTTGCTAGGGGGGAACAATCAGGCAGCCTGGCTTCCCTGAAGGGACTGGTCTGGCCCCTTGGGACCTGACCTCAGTCACCTGACATTCCTACTCCCATAGGGCCAAGGAGAGGGAAGCTATAGACCCAACTCATGTGAGCCTTGAGATAAAAAACACCTTAACTCTGACTCTTGGGTTGGTTAGCTTGTCTTTTGACAGTTTACCTGATGCCACTCAGTGTCCTGGAAATATAGGCTCCATGTTTTTGTTATCAGCGGGTGTGTGTGTGTGTTCCATGCTTGATGCATAACCACCTCACCTTAAGGTGTTAGTTCCTATAGTTGCCCAGAAGAACAACATCCAGAATTAGTCCTATTTGCCAGAGGACCCTTATTGGGATTGTGTCTAACCTTGTCCTTCCTCTGGCTTACGGTTTTCATGGACCAGGTTCATCACATTCTTGGGCTAGTTGAGGCTGTGCCACTGAGTGGAGCCTGGACTCTTCAGTTCTCACAGATTTGGCTTTATGCCCCAGACTAACCCAGTGAAGGGAACCTAGGGGCTCTGTGCCTGCTGTGACTTTCCTCTTCTCCCTTTCTCTTTAGGAGCTTGAACGCCTGAACCAGGTGCTGGAGGCCGAGAAGCAGCAGTTCGAGGAGGTGGTGCAAGAGCTGAGAGTGGAGCAGGAGCAGATCAAGAGGTGATGGCAGCCATGGGAGGGGCAATGGGGGGTGCCCTGGCCCTGGGAGGGGCAATGGGGGGTGCCCTGGCCCTGGGAGGGGCAATGGGGGATGCCCTGGCCCTGGGGGGGACAACGGGGGTGCCCTGGCCCTTGGAGGGGCAATGGGGGATGCCCTGGCCCTGGCTCTGGCCCTGGCTCTGGCCCTGGCAGACTGATGTTCAGCCAGACTCGGCTTTTATCAGGATAGCATGTATGGCCTGGTCTTCCCAATGCTCCGGGTCTTGAGTATACCCAGAATATTGAGCCTCATCAGTGGGTCACTTCTGCTCACGGATAATGGTGTCTTGCAATGCTGTGAACAAGAGTGTGAGACATGGGTAAGAGCAGGCCAGGCTCTTCCACGGAACAAGTCCCTCCGATCTTTGTGAAAGCTGCTTACCCAGGTTACTGGCAACAAGCTGCCCTGGCCTAGAACTGCTGCCTGAAAAGATCCCCAACACTCTTCAGCTCTCCTGGAGTCCTTTCCCATTTTGGTTAATGACACATTGGGATCTTCAGTCTAGACAGATCTAGTTACCCTTTAGAAGCGTTAATTGAATTATAATCTCATGAAGGTAGGGCATTTATTTATCCCCAACCTAGGTGGCTCAGGTGTAGTTTACCCAGAATTTGGAAACTATTGCTGAGGTTGACGGTGTTCAGTGTCATGTCCTCATCATCACACTCACCACCACCACCACCATCATCATCCTCTCCACCACCACCATGGACTATCAGTGATAGCCTAGAGAAACTTACTGAAGACCTTATTAAAGGGAATCATTTAGATATGTATTGGGGAAGGGGATGGAATACAGAGACTGCTTTTTCCTAATTTTTAAACTTAGCGTACAAATAAGAGAATCTACTTAAATAAAAAGCCAGACAGTCGTTAGACACTGAATTAGAAGATAAGTCCCCTGGGTTCAGGACCTCACTCGCTATCTGGTAAGTGAATCCACCTCATTTGGCTGAGGCACCCTTGCAGCCCCAACCCTACAGCTGTTCTCAGTACCCAGCGTTGCAGAGCACCGGCCATCCAAGAGTCCTGCTGAGCCGCATCATGTACGGCAGAGATGTGTCTGGAAGCAGAGGTTGGGAAGCATGCCAATCCAGCTCTCTGTCCCCGCAGGGAGCTAGAACTCACTGCGAGATGCCTCAAGGGTGTGGAACAAGAGAAGAAGGAGCTGAGGCACCTCACAGAATCCTTGCAGCGTACACTGGAGGTGAGGAGGCAAGCTTGCCGGCTTAGCAATGCTGGATTCTCATATTTCCCAGGGAAGGTACCAACAGGAGAATGAACATGAAGCGAGCTTACCCATAGGGGCGTCTCTCTGCGTGACTGGGAACTCTAGAGAACACATGAGACCCAAAGCATGGACTGGTTCTTCCCAGGCCCAGAACAAAAATTCCAGCTTGTCCTTGTGACGACCGTGGCCGCAGGAAAATGGCTTTTTATAGTGTATACCATAGGCAGGATCAATTAGTGTCACCCGCCACATCCTTTTGTGGTTTCTAACTTAGCTGCTTCTGGGTGAAATTGAGCATAAATGGAAATCAACTTCCAGGTCACTGTCATCTGACACAAGAGACTGAGAGCGGTGGGGGCAAGCAGCATGTGTCAAGGACAGAGAACAAACTTCTTAGCATAGCATGCAAACACACACACCCCAGCAGTCCCTCCGCTGCCCTTCTACTCCCTGCTCCAACCACTGAGCTCAGATCCCCGAGGACAATAAGATTTTCCAGCCCCTGAACCACAGCCCCACGGTTGCTTCTAGGCCACATAGCCTTCTCGTCTTTTTCTGGAGAACTATTTGTCTTCAGACCCTCTAGTCAAAGCTTCCTTGACTCTTCTCGGTCGGCATTTGCTCTGTGTGCCCATGCATTTTGCACATTAGTTACAGGATTAACACTCTGGTTGTGTTTTCGAAACTGTGGGCTTCATTTGACCATTCCTTAATGGCATCTCAAAGTCCTGCATCCGAAGTAAGTGTGGGACCAGGCATCTTGGTTGAATCCATGGGTTGTCATGAAGGCTGCAAGAGTTTTAGTCTCCTTGGTAACTGGAGCCTTGGTTTGTTTCACTTTTCCCGTCATGGGGAGTGAGTACCATGGATACTTTCAACGGCATAATTTCATTGTAGTGTTAAGGTCCTAGTTGAGAATGTAGAGAATGTCTGAATGTATTTGTGGGCTGACCCTTCTGGGCATTTTCACATGAGCCCAGTATATTTCTCCTTGATGAACAAGGGCCTCAGAAGATCATGTTGCCCTTAGGCCTTGACATCTGGCTCTAATAGGTGCCATCTCTATTGGAAGTCACATTGGGTTCCTCCTTGTCTGTCTTGATGAAGGAGTAACCTGGCCATGTTCTAAGAAAGGAGGTCTTGGAATGAGGCATGTAAACTGTCCTCATGGAGGGTTGAAGGAGGAGTAGTTTACTCTCTGGAATTGTAAGAAGACCAGGGCAGCCACGCTGGAGAGCTAACCCCTGCTCCTTCTCATCCTTCTTGTCTTTGTGCCAGGAACTCTCTATAGAGAAGAAGAAAACCCTAGAGATGCTGGAGGAAGATAAGAACCAGCCACAGCCCTTGACCAACCAGAGTGAGCAGCCACCGGCCAGTGATGGTCTCCATAGCAACCTCAGGCAGATCGAAGAGCGGATGCAGGAGCTTTTGGCAGAGAAGCTTCTGGCAGAGAAGCGGTGAGGCACCTGAGGCAGCCGGGTCCTCCAGCATCTCAGGACCTGTGTCTGCCCTCGAGATAGACAGCCAGGCTAGAGTTCTAGCTGCCATTCACAAGATGGATCACTTACTTCCTTTCTGCCTATGACCTGGCTTTTCCAAAGCTGACTTGACCAGCCATACAGAGCACCATCAAAACAGTGCCCATGGCCAGCCAGCAGGTTCCCTTAGCCTCCACTCACCCAACCCATGAAGAAACAGCCTCACTGGAGTCAGGGGACTTCTCTGAGGTCAGAAAAGTAGCAGTCCCCAAACATCTAAGCCTCAGGCTCCTAGCACTCCACCCCACCCCTCTCATCACCTAGATGACCAGACCCAGAGAGGACTCAGTCTTACACTAGGCATATCTCTAGCAGGCGTAAGTCCCTTTGTAGGTGAGCCTTGGGTAAGTGCCTCTCCTGCCTGCAGGATGAAGGAGAATGAAGAACGCTCACGGGCCCTGGAGGAAGAAAGGGAGTTCTACTCTAGCCAGTCCCAAGCCCTGCAGAACTCGCTGCAGGAGCTGACTGCAGAGAAGCAGCAAGCTGAGCGGGAACTCAAGGTGTGCAACCTGCATGAACCTTGTGCTCTGGCCCTCCATACTCCTGGGAACTCCTGCCCATCCTTGTACTTCACAGCCACCCCAATCCTCTCTCCCAGTGTGTCCAGGTGTGAGTTTATCAAAAGAGTAGCCGTCGTTTTATCATGGATAGAAAGTGTGATAGGCCCTAGCCCGGTCATCTGGGTCATGGGGAAGGCATGGAAGCAAAATGTGGAAAGTTCCATCCAAGCTATTGAGCACACAAAGATCAGGGAAGGTATCCTGGCTATTTTTCTCACTACTGTGATAAAGTACCTGTCAAAATCAGCCTGCAGAAGGAAGGTTCGTGGTTTGAGGGGCATATAGTCCATCCTAACAGGGAAATCATGATGGTGGGAGTATGAGACAGCTGGCAACATTGTCTATAGTCAGCAAACAGAGCGAGAATCCATACCTTCTCTCCTTTCCTGTTTGTTCAGTCTGGGACCTCAACCCACAGGTCAGTGCCACCCACATCCTCTACCCTCAGTCAAAGCTTTCTGGAGATGTTCCACAGATGTATCCTGAAGTGTGTCTCCTAGGTGATCCTAAATCCCATCCAATTAGCAATGAAAATGCACCATCACAGAAGGCTTCTGGGAGGTGGAGACAGCTCCTATCACAGAAGGCTTCTGGGAAGGTGGAGACAGCTCTTGCTCATCCCCCCACGTAGGCTGAAGTGAAAGTACGCATGGACCTTGAGAGACGCCTTCGGGAGGCAGAGGCGGCCTTGCGGAGCCTGGAGCAAGGCCTCAATTCCAAGGTTCGGAACAAGGAGAAGGAAGAGAGGATGCGGGCTGACGTGAGCCACCTGAAAAGTAAGACCCTCTTTCCAGGGCTCAGCTCTAACCCCAGAGCTCATCCCCCATAAGCCCAGGCCCACCAGAGCCTGGAACAGGCCTAGCACATGTGAGGTGGTCCTTCCTGTTCCTCCTCAGACACCTTCCTGTAGGAGTACCCTTGGCAACGTCCCTTTGTGGCAGTTGAGCCTGGAGTGAGGCTATAGACGGAAAGCCTGGAGTTTTGTCCTCTTTTTTAAAAGCTCAAAGCGTTGTTCTCAGCAGATCTCCCCTGTTGATAGCTATAGGTTGTAGTTTGAGAGACAAACTATGTTCCATAAAGGATAGAGCAACATATCTCCCACCAGACCAAACCAGAACTTAGGAGAAGGACAGGCCCAGAGAAAGGCACAGTCAACTGCTCCTTCCTGCCACCAGGGTTCTTCGAGGAGTGCATCCGGAATGCAGAGCTGGAGGCCAAGATGCCAGTCATCATGAAGAACTCCGTGTACATCCATAAGGCGGCCACTCGCCGCATCAAGAGCTGCCGTTTCCACCGCCGCCGGTCCAGCACTTCCTGGAATGACAGTGAGTACCCGTTTGCTCCAGTGGGGTCAGATGGAACAGGTTGTGGGCTACCAGGCAGGAATTGGGCAAGTTAGAGACCAAGTACACAAGGCTGGACAGTATGTCCTGGAACATAGCTCTGCCAGCCTGGGGTAGGAAGGACCAAGTGAAACTCAGCAGCATGTAGGGTTGGGACGAGGGAGGAAGGGTGGACTGAGCATGGGGGAATGCCATTCATGGGGCAACGGGTTCTCGTCTCCACAGTGAAGCCATCCCAGTCCTTCCTGACCTCCCAGCTAGAAGCCAACAACATAGAGGAGCTGAAGGAGGTGGCCAAGCGGCTAAGCAGAGACCAGCGCTTCCGGGAATCCATCTATCACATCATGGCCACCCAACCTGGGGCCTCTGCACTCCCCAGGGGAGGAAAGTAATGGCAACTCCTCCCCCACCTTGGTGGGGCAGCAGGGAGGTCTGACTCCCCTTGGTCCTCTCCACCAGAGCACTGCTGGGGGAGGGGCACCCTCACTCTCATTCTCTGCCTCACCCGGAGCCCTGACCTTGGAGGTCAGAAGAGAGCGTTGGAAGAGAGTCTTGGATTCCCTGGAACTGGAGTTGTGGATGGTTGTGAGCTACAGTGTGGGTACTGGGAATCAAACCTGGGTCCGCTGTAAGAGCAGCAAGTGTTCTTAACCACTGAGCCGTCTCTCCAGGCCCGAGCCCTGACCTTGGGTCTACCCTAGGTGGGGTGGGTCCACTCTGGGTGCTACCTGGTTGTCATGATGAGCTCTGGCTCTGTGTGGTATCTGTTGGTCAAGAAGAGAAGTTGTCTATTCCATGAGGACGGAAAAGTCCCTCTGGTACCCACCATGCCCCTCGGTGACTCTGCTGCACTGACCCTGGTCACATGACACCCCCTAACTCTCTATTTGCTCCTGATCCTCCAATACAACATTTATCCAGGCCCTGCACTTATGTCCTTGGAGAGGAAAGAGCAGGCCCTAAGACTCAACCCCAGGTTCACAGCACCCCACACCCTCTCTGCAGTATTCCTCGGGGCTGCCCTGGCTGTAAGGCCACCCAGGTCTCCTATTCACAAATGGGTTTCTCCATATATAGCTCCAGCAATCTGCCGGAGGGTGCAGGAGATGTGTGTAATCCAGGGTTTTCCCAAAGGACGCACAGCCAGACCAGGAGTGAAAAAGCTTTTATATTAGCCAGTCAGGCAGAGAGTTATAGCTGTCTCAGGCTCTTGTGACCCTGTTGCTCCGAGATCACAGAGGTCTGTCTCTCTCCCAGTTGGCTCACCTTGCTGCCTCTTCTTCCTGCAGTGGCCTCACTCAGTGAACCAACACAGCCAGGAACCCACCACATAGGAACATGGGCCTGTGGGGCACCAGTAGCTATTGGTTGGTTCAGTGTTGTCAGAGTGACACTGTAACACCAGCCGGCAGGTTTTATGGATGACCACTACCCTTGAGGAGGCCAAGAACTGTGGAATGTGTTCCTCATCTGTGGCAGTCTTTTGGGTGCATCCCTCAGAAGCTGCCTGAGTCTATCAATCTTGCCAAACAAGACTTGGGGTGGGGGCAGAGATTTGTACAGTGGTTAAGAGCACTTGCTTTTCTTGCGGAGGACCCAGACTTGGTTCCCAGCATTCCATGTGGTAGCTCACAACCATCTGTGACTTCATTTGCCAGGATATCCAACATCCTCTCCTGACCTCCACAGGCACTGGGCACTCACATGGTGCATGTACATACATGCAGACAAAACATTCATACACATAAAATAAATCTTGAAAAAAACAGTTTAAAAGGGGCTGGGTACTAAGACAGTGCTGAATCAAAGGCATCCATTTTCTGTTTAGAAGACTGAAGCACCCTGAGGGAGGGACAGATGTAACCCTGGGGAAGAACCTTTGTCAGTGTCTGGGCTGCCCTGTTTTCTGTGGACCCTTCTTGGTGAGGGTGGCCTTAGGGTGTTTTGAAATCAGTGCATCTGGGTGTAAATATGAAGCTTTACCTGTGTATAAACCCGCATAAACCCAGAGCTTGTCTACAAAATATGTATGTGGAATGGACTTTGAAATGAAGACATATAAAACCAGATTACTGGTTTTGTTTATTTTTAAAGAATTAATAATAGCTTGCTCTTGGAGAAAATTTCAAATGCATTGGTGTTCCAGGTCAAACTAGAAAGAAAAATACTGCTGTATAAGAATTCCTGCAAGTATGTATTGTATCTTGTTTTGTTTATTCATTCAGAATTGTAGATAGCCCAGGCTGGACTCAAACTCAATGTTTCTGAGGATGACCTGCTTCTAACTCCTGAGGACTGGACTTCAAGTAAACTAGGCAATACTCTATCAACTGCTAGTACATACCAAGCTCAGTAATTTATGAAGGATGGAAACTCCCTTTGCAGACCAGGCTGACCTTGAACTCAGATCTGCCTGTCTCTGACTCCTGAGTACGGGGATTAAAGGCCTGTGCCACCAACACTACGAGATAGGTTCCCACTCTTAATACTATTGTAATGTCAATTGAGTTGGTTTTGTTTTTGGATTTTCGAGGCAGGGCTTTTCTATGTAGCCCTGGCTGTCCTGGAACTCACAGAGATCTACCTGCCTCTGCCTCCAGAGTGCTGGGATTAAAAGTATGTGTCACCACTGCCCAGCAACAATTAAACATGAATTTTAACATGAATCTGGAAGGAGACAGACTCAAATCTTAGCAGTACTTTCTGAACACAAGTACCAATTCCCTAGTTCGTTTTCTCTTCTCACCCTGTACTTTCTATGCCTCAGGCAAGTCTGGGTTACCTCCAGCCATATGTAACACAGCAAAAACACACACACAGGTGCACACGTACCAACCAACATCCCTATACGAAAATATGGAGGGCTGGAATTACTTACTGGAAACATTGACATGACATATAACATTAATATTATATAGCACTTTCTAAAAGTAACTCTTAATCATTGGCCAATTAATTAAGTGCGTTACTTCCTGGCAGTGTTTTCAAAGTAGGCAATAGAGTCATTTCTAGAGATGTGCTGCCCCCTTCAGGTCACCCATGGAATTGTATTGTCCTGTCCTGTGTGTTCCAGCTGAAAACCTCCTGTGACTGACTTCTTAATAATTCACTGAAAACTATTTGTTTCCGCCCTGAGGTCCTGGATGTCTCTATGTTATAAAACCATCAGAATTCTCCTCTGACTTGAGTATAGAACAAAAGCACAGCCTGAAAGAAACAATGTGCCTGTTAGCGTCAACACTCACACCAGGAATGGACGGTCTTGCCAGCTGTTTCATAATCATGCTTTGCTTCATAATCAGAAGGGGAGGCAGAAATGAGTAACAGTTTCCTGCAGAAATGAGTTACTGTTATTCAGTTCGTTTCCCAGCTGAGGACGTGTGTCACGCAGGCTGCCCTGGTGTTTACCGTATCCCAGCATACTCAGGGGCTCCCCGTTTGCCTATCATGAATGTCTTCATGCAATGGTCACTTGTCTCTAATGCCTTCCCACAGGTTTAATGATTTTTCTTGTTTCTACAACCAATTATGGAACCAGATACAGAACAAGCAATGGGTTATTTTGGCTTGCTGTGAGGGTACAGACCCTGATGGTGGGGAAGCCATGCAACGGAAGCTTAGGGTGGCTGGTTGTGATGGTGAGAGTCTTCCTTTTGGGGCAACCTCTGCCAAGGATGATCACAATTGAAGTTCTCCACTTCTCTCCCTGTGTCTCCAGTCTGCCCACAAGGGCTTTGCTCTATATTTATTGAAAAGCACAAAAACATGGTATGGGAAAGGATTAGGGAAGCTTCTGGCTTGTATTCATTTATTTTTGTTAGTTAGTTTGTTTATTTTTTTTTTTTGACACAGGGTTTCTATGTGTAGCCCTGGCTATCCTGGAACTCATTCTGTAGATCAGGCTGGCCTGGAACTCAGAGATCCACTTGCCTCTGCCTCCCAAGTGCTGGGATTAAAGGTGTGCGCCACCACTGCCCGGCTTATTTCCTTTTTAAAAACCAGAGTTTATAAGGGAATAATTTAGTTTATTGAACCCTACTGACCCAGAATAGCACTCAAATCTGCAAACAGATGTCACCACCTATACCACATGTTGTTTCCAACATTTATGTTGGACAATTAAACACTTGTTTCCTTTGCTGCCATTTTTTATCTGATGATTTAACTAAACTCTCTGTCTCTCTGTCTCTGTCTCTGTCTTTGACTCTGTCTCTCTCTCTCTCTCTCTCTCTCTCTCTCTCTCTCTCTCTCTCACACACACACACACACACACACACACACACACACATTATTTTGGGTCAGGGACATGAAAGAGTCACAAAGGGAAGAAAGAATGTGGTCTGAGAGTAAAGTCATGCCTTCAGTTTATCTTGTAAAAGTGGGTTACAGGACAAGTCCAAGGCCTCGCGTAAGATGGGCTACATTGATTTTTTAAAGCAAGATGAACAGTCTGAATACACAGTGGGAAGCAGGTTACTGCATAGCTTTGAGTGGTTTCCAGGCATATTATTAACTTGATTGCAAGGCCGGCGAAGGTTCAGTCTCTGAAGACAAGAGTGTTTTCAGAGGAAGCTGTTCTCACAGCTGCCCCGCTGCCTTTGGAGCAGGAAGCAGGGATCCAGGAATGTTACTGTTTAGTATTGACTGATGTTGGTCATGTGGCACAATAGAGAGAGAGGCTCACCAAGATGCTAAGCCTTCATTTTCCAAAGGACCGAAAGGGGGTCGTCCTTCTTAGATAAGACTGGCACCCAGCTAGCTCACACCAGTTACTTATTCAAACATTAACCAAAGCTAACTGGGACTGGGAACGGTTCCAGCTACCAAAGTTATCTTGCCCTTGCTGCCCACGAAAGCAAACAACCCACACAGATCTCAGTCCCTTTTGACCATGGCTAGCCATAATCAAAAGAACTCCAGGTTCTCCAGGAGTGTCTTAGGACCAAGATTAGTGCAGCTGCAAGTTTTCATGTGGCACCAAGTACAGACATTCTAGAGAGAGATTTCTTCAAGGTTCAAACCATCTCAAAACAATTTCTCAGTCTCTACTGATTGACCCAAACATAGCAAAGGCTGTGCTGAGACGTTTCATTTGCAGCCAGACACCAGGCTTTACTATTCAGATCGCTACAGTTTGGCTCTATACACTCAGCCCCAGACTCCGGCCTGTAGAACGGTCCCACCCATTTTGGGTGGGTCTTCCAACCTCTATGAATTAATCTACATCATCTTGAACAGACACAATCAGTGGTTTGTTTCCACGAGGATTCTAAATCCCAGCAAGTTGACCATATTAACCATCATACCTCCCACAACCCCAAAGACATAAAGAAAGTAAGGGACTTGGAAAGCACAAACGCTCCGGCTTAGGAACCTGTCTCCTGTCTCGATC